GAGTCTTCTTCTCCAGCACCAGAGTCCAAAGGCCTCCATTCTTTGGCGCTCAGCCTTCCTTATGGTCCAACTTTCACAGCCACGGAGAAAACATAATGCTGTGCAATTTGAAGGGGGGGAAATCTACTTATGGAAGAGTGTGACAAAACTGCAAATGCATAAGTATTTAATCCTTCATGAGTTATCTTGCAAGCAAGCAAGCGTGGTACTTGTTTCATACAAAGTTTCTCACTGCAGCTTGAATAAGAATGTCCCCATCTTTGTCTGCACGATGGCCTACCCCACCGTTCCTTGCCCTCTGCACATCTTTGAGCCCTGCTACCGACTGATGGTTCGGAGATGTATGGAGACGGGCACCAGGCAGTTTGGCATGTGCATTAGAGATCCCGTCAAAGGGTAAGTAGCATATGATGAACATCAGAACTGAGGCCACGTGATTCAGTTTCAGGGCCAGGTGCAACAGGAGCCCCTTGGGAATAATGGTAGTCACTAACTTTGTATGCAAGAATCTCTCCACATTAATGGCCAATTAAGTCTTCCTGCATCTCAGGGAGGTCAAGCTTCTGCCATTTGTGACTACACAGTGATTCCCAGCTAGACCCTCGCCTGGCTCCTCCCAACCTAGCCGGCCATTTTCCAACATCATTCTTCAAAGAGAAGAAAACTGAATTCATATTTCCAGTTAACTAAGCGATGTAGCATTCAAATTAAATTCAAATAGTAGGAGAAGGACTGGAAAATTATAAGTGAAATTACTCACCCTCCCAATAATGACATTTTTGAAAAGTCCCTAATATTTTATTTATTTATAATCCACCTTTATTATTTTTACAAGTATCTCAAGGCTGCAAACCTTTCTAACATACCTTCGTTCTTTCTCCTATTTTTCCCCACAACAATAACTCTGTGAGGTGGGTTGGGGTGAGCGAGAATGACTGGCCCAAAGTCACCCAGCCGGTTTCCATAGCTAAGGTGGGAGTAAAATTCATGGTGATTGGCCCAAAGTCACCCAGCTGAGGTGGGACTAGGATTCACAGTCTCCTGGTGATTGGCCCTAAGTTGCCCAGCTGCCTTCAATGCCTAGGGCAGAACTAGAACTCACCATCTCCTGGTTTCTCCAGGTAGAGATTTAATTAAGTAATACTACTACTCTGCCTCCTCCTCCTCCTCCTCCCGCAAACTCCACTCCCTTCTAGCACTGATGATGTTACATAGTTTGGTCATGAAATGTCTGCCAGAAAACAAGCAAGCTCAGAGAGCACCATGAATCCCACAGTGCTCCTCCTCCTCCTCCCTCCATGAGGGTCGTCATCCCTCTCATAAAGACAGATAATTGGAGAGCTCACACCTAACTTAGCCAGTTGCGGCTTTTCTTCAGCTAGCACTTGATGCCCGAGGCAGTGAGGTGTGTGGCTTCACGGGAGCCGCGTGCAGATCTCGGATTCATCCTCTTCTCTTGGCTTCCACTCTTCTGGCAAACAGGTTCGCAGATTACGGATGCATCCTAGAGATAAGGAACGTGGAGGTCTTCACCGACGGGCGCTCCGTGGTGGATAGCATCGGCAAGAGGCGGTTTAAGGTCCTACAACACAGCAAGTGTGACGGCTACAACACAGCGGATATCGAGTACATTGAAGACAAGAAGGTGGGTCAAAGGTAGAAGGTGTTCTCACCTAGCAGCACGAAGCCGAGTCCTCATCCCAATAAACCCTTTTTATTTAGTTTACAGTGAATTCCTCTCCTGCAAAGTCTTCCCCACCTTCTTTCAAGACAGTTCACAATTACTGACCTTCGTTAGGCTTGGAGCGTGGCCAGGCCGATATCTTTCAGACGCCTCAATACTTGGCAAGAATGCAGGAATGAACTCATTGTCTCCTGCAAACTCCACTCCCCTTTTGCTCCCCCTTTGTTCCCTTAGGGGAGTGGCCATTCACCATCCACCTGTGGCCTTACTCCCAAGTCGACCCCTGTTCTTTAGCTGGTCCTTTTGTCTGGCTACTCTAAATATGCGCACACTGTGTTCTTCTACCTCACTGATGTCTGACTCTGAAGGCAGCTGATGGCTGGCACATGGCCCTGGCCCCCTCTCTGCCTCCAACGCAGAGCCCTCCTCAGAGCCTTCCCCAGACTCCAGGACTTGCCCAGGTTCCTCCTCACTGTCCGAATCTGCTGCCAGATCCGCTGGCGGCCACAACAGAAGGGGGGGAGAAGGTCACCTGTCTGACATAGTTGTAAGAGGCACATGAATGTGTGTGTGTGTGTGTGTGCGCGCACACAGACATACTCCAAAGGCTTTTTGGTTTTTTGTCAATCCGGGAAGTCCTCAACTTAGGGCCACAATTGAGCCCAACATTTCCGTTTTTCATTTGTCTGCCAACTCTTGTCTCCATTTTGCGAATTTTCTTCCCGTGGCTCTTAAGCGAATCCCCTGCAGTTGGTGAGTTGTTAGTAACTGGGCTTTCTAACAGGATCTGCCTTCCCCCATCCATTCTGCCGGTCAGAAGGTCACCAGAGGGGGGTCACGTGACACACAGCCATTGGCCCTAAATGTAACCCAGTTGCCAAGCGTCTGACCCCTGGGACGCTGCAACCGTCATAAGTATAAGTCAGTTGCCAAGCGTCTGAATTTTGATCCCATGACCATGGGGATGCTGCAAAGATCATCACTGTGGAAAAACAATCCTGAATGCCCTTTTTTCAGTGCCACATTGTAACTTTTAAACGGTCACTAAGTGAACTGTTGGAAGTCAAGGACTACATGTGTTGTTTTTAAATTTACTAGCCGATAACCCGGCATTGCCCGGGTATTTATTTATAGGGGGAAAATGTCCAGACCAAACGTAATTTCTAACGTTGGATTTTCCCCCTTACCAGAGGGAGCCCCCTTGTGGAGTATTGTGAAGCTGTTACCATGGCAACTCCACTGCGCTGTACAGTAGAGTCTATTTTACAGTAGTACAGTAGAAGCCATTTTAAGGTACAACAGGCTGCATCTTAACAGAATGCCCGAGGGGTGTTAGGGGTGTCTTACCCCCACAGTATTTCTTTCCAGAGAGTAAGTCATCTGTGTACCAAGTTTGTTTGAAATTGCTCGAGGCGTTCCAGAGTTATGCTGGAACATACACAGACGTTTCTATAGAGAGAGATTTACTTTGGGGGAGGGAGCAATAACCCTGGGAGGTAGGGCAGCAGAGTCCTGGCCAACCATCATTTTCCTATCGTTATTATCCTAAACATGTCTGGGAAAAAATTATTTCCCTTCCTTCCCCTGTATCTCCAGCTCCAGCCTAAACTTTTGCTCTGTTCTGTGCCCGTTTCAGGTCCAGGGAGAGGCCTCTGAATACTTGACGATTCTCCACAGTGCCGTGTACGATCAGGCCCGCACCTGGTTCAACACTCTGAAATCTTCACTCAGAGTACGCATTATCCATCATTTCGGTCCAATGCCTGTTAAAGAACCAGACCCACAGGTACGATGAGCAAGCACAGAATTAACTCTGCTCACTCCTGAGTGTTCTGACCAGGGGTGGGTTTCAAGCGGTTCGCGGCGGTCCTTGCGAACCGGTTGGTCGGCGAACCCGGAAGTAAGTAACTTCCGGGAACGGCAAAGGGCCCACCCGCGCACCCACGCGCACTCCTTACCTGGTTTTGATGAGTTCTGCGCTTCCACGCATGCGCAGGACGCATACAGCGCCTGCGCGATCCTCCAGGAACAGCTGGAGCATCGCACAGACACTAGTACGCATGCGTGCGTGCGCGAGGACGCTGCCGGCCCCGTTCCAACCGAACCGGTTGGAACGGGGCGAGAAACCCACCCCTGGTTCTGACCCAGCTCCCCAAACACGACAAACCTTCTGAAGTGAACCCAAAGATTCCTTTATTAGGAGCGCTGGCAGCCCCAGCAAAAAGTTTCTCTCTCACCGCAGGATAACAAGTCCTTCTGGCAGGGGGCTGAGTAGTTCTCTGCCACATCTATTCATCTCCGCCTCCTGCTGTTTATCCCCAGAGCTAGGGTGGGGCTTCGCTAGCAGTGGTGGCTCTTCTGTCCCAAGGACCAGCCCATAGATTTCCACTGCTCTCCTCTCCTCTGCCTTCTGTGCATCTGCGTGTCAGGCACCGGGCCCAGCTTTTCCTCCTCTTCCTCATCAGCCACCTACAGACCTGGGGGCAGTTGACTCTCCATCTGAGGGCTGACGGATGGTCCAGGCTCTGCCTCTGCCCCCCCCCCTCTCTCTCTGCCAGCTCCACTCCCTCTTCCCCCTCGGAGCTCTCAGGTTGCCTTGATGCTGACCCTGACTCCCACACTGCTGCCTCCTCTTCTTCCTCCTCCTCCTCCTCCTCTGACTCGGCTGCTGCAGGGGCCGGTGGCCAAGAGGCCGCAACAAGAAGCTTTGCAAAGCCAGCCTTATCCTAGTCAGGATGTCCTCTGTGCCGGGTAGAGTGTTAGGAATCGTCGTCCACGACCAACAACCACAACTGAAATTTCCATTGGTAAACAAGATGATGATTAAGTGCACAATTATATGACCTTTCCCCCCTGGTTGTTAAGTGAATCATGCTGTTGTTAATAGAATCCAGCTTCCCCCATTGACTCCGCTTGTCGGAATGTCTTGAATTGCTGATCACGTGGCCTCATGACAATGCAACCCATTGTAGATACACGCTGGTTGCCAATTGCCTTTATTTCGATCGCTCGGGGAATGCTGCAATGTTTGTAAATCACTATTTCAGCGTCGTAATTTTGAACGGTTGCTAAGCAAATAGTTGTAAATTAAGCACCACTGGTGGCAAGTAATGCATATACCACAGGGCTGGGAAATCGGGAGATTCAAGGCGGTTCCAACAAGTATCAAGATGTACCAAAAGCTTAAGCTCACTACAAGAATCTGTCCAACTAAAAGTCAAGGGAAATGAGCAGGGGATAAGGAAGACATTCAAGGTGGGCTGGACGTGGATCTCGTGGGGATGCACAGGGACTCGTGACTGATGACACTTTTGACCCTCCTCCTGCCCCAGCCCAGTCATCTCCTACCGCAGGAGCATCAAACTCAATTTTATTGAGGGCCGCATCAGAGCTGTGGTTGACCTCGGGGGCAGGATGGATGTGGCCAACTGGGTGGGCTTGGGCAGCTTGATGCCACTCCCCAAATTGCTGGCATGTTTCTTCTTTGCACTGGGTAGACCAGAGGTGGGATTGAAAAATGTTAGCAACCTGTTCTCTGCCCGAATGCTAGGTGGGTATGGCCATGGAGGGCATGGCCTACTCGGTCTCTTGCACCCCCCCTGGCTCCGGAGGTGTTTTCACCCCCCTGGCTCCGGAGGTTTTCCTCGAGCCTCCGGGAGGGCATAAACAGGCTCCCCGGGCTTCAGAGGCCGGAAACAGGCCCATATCTGGACTTTCGGTACTTCGGGTAGGTGCATTTTTCATCCTCCTCAGGCTCTGGAGGCTTTCTCCGAGCCTCCGGGAGGACGAAAACGGCCTCCCCCGTGTTCCAAAGGCGAGAAGCAGGCCCATTTCCGGACGTCTGGGCGGCCTGTTTTTCGCCCTCCCAGAGCCTCCACCTGGGCAGTTACCTGGCGTGATGAACTGGCCGCTGGGAGACCCAGGGGAGGGGTGGGGAGGGGTGGGCGGGGCCAGCCAGTCCTTGCAACCACCGGTGTAAAGTGGCTGAATCCCACCCCCTGGTGTAGACGGGGCCACATTGCAGCCCCCATTGCAGGCCTTAATTTCTGACACCCCTGTCCTACAGGTTTGAAGCAGGTGTGCCTTTTTTTCATTACAGGTGAGCCCCGATGGTCCTGCCTGGTGCTGGTGGATCTTGGCCGTCCTTCCTCTGGAGAACAAAGCCCAGCTTCCCTTCCTAGCGATGACCTCCTTGAAGGCGCGTCTTAAAGGCATCCGGAGCATTTTAACCTTTCTCTTCCTCACTCAGACGAAGTGAAGGGGGCTGTAAATGCCCTTGCAATCCGAGGCCTTCTCTCTCTCTCTCTCTCTCTCACACACACACACACACACACACTCCTTCCCACTGATTGTGCCCGAAGGCAAAAACGAACTTTACGGAGGGCCTTAAATTCTCAGGTCTCAAAGCTCTTCCCACCTCTTGAATGGAAAAAAGAAAAGGAAAAAAAAATCCCCCTTTCTCTAAGCTGCAATAATCTCCCAACTGCTCCCATCTTGGTCTGCAAAGCAGAAACTCAGTGCTCAGTGCCTGACAGGAGACCATCAGGAGGGCAATGCCAAGCGAGGTTTCCTTCGGAAATCCCAGGGAGTTCTATGGGCCACGGAGGCCCCTGTCTATATGTTGTGATAGAATTTGACAAAGTAGACGTGTGTTTATTCGTCACAGCGTCCTTTTAAATTGAGAATTATTATTTAATTTAATCTTTATTTGGAACCGTTGCATTAAAACGAATCCAGTTAATGTGAAGCTTAAAATATTCACAAATCAGGAGGAACCGAGCAGCCCCTTTGCTGGAGAATATATATTTCCTAAAAGCTTTGTCTTTTTAATTTTAAAAATTTGCCGGTCAAATGGATTCTTCCTGACTTTTTTTTTCTTGCTACCACAGACTAACCTGACAGTCTTTTACAAAGTCTGAATTATTTAGCAATTGTTTTTCCTAAGGATTCAGGAATGACTGTATAATTTTGGTCGCAGATGTCTCTGCTTGAATTTTGGTTTTGCACAGGTTGTTTTTTGTTCCAGTTGTAACTGCGAGAACCTCTGGGTGTTTACTCCAAAGTAAATCCTATTGCATTTAATGATTATTCCTGAGTGCTTTTAGAGTTCTGAGCTGTCTGTGTGTTTGTGTGTGTGTGTGTGTGTACACAACATCTAGTTGTGGTTACAGTCACTTTAGCGATGGTTTGAAGATAAGTTGCTCCACCAAAAGCTACTTATGACCCGGTTTTGAAGTCACAACCACTGCAATACCTCCCACCCACCCACCCAGCTTGTCTTGACTACTGACCGCAGAGATGTGAGCGAAGTGAGCGCATCCCCGGCAATCAGCCCTTCCCATCCCGCCTCGCCTGGTCCCTGCAGGCCCTTGGTTTTAAATGAATTTGCAAACATGGCTTTCTTTTTCACACAAAACCATCACGAGCCTTATTTTGCTCCAAGTGCATTTTCCAGATATTTTTCCCTCTCCCTTTGCAAACAGATATAAATAAAACCCAAACAGAACATTATAAATATCCACCCATGTTAAAAGTTTGAAAAGCTCTGCCCTGAAACAGCTTTGTATTGTTTTATCCCCCTGCACCCTTCATCCCTGCTAGTTCTTAGACTACAGATAGTCGCTTTTCTGCCATTCATGTTTCCAAGGAGAAAGACTTTAACACCAAGAGTAAGTTGCGAGACTGTGCGGCCTCCGTTCCCGAAAAGTGCCAAGTAAGATTTCTGCTTTAATGCAGGGATCTTGGATTAGGGCCACAAAGTACATTCGGCACGCGTCGGGAAGGATTTTAAATCCACTTCTGGCAGCTCTCTCTATAAAAGTTTTCTCTGCCCTCTGCTGGTGAGCCACAAAAGAGATTATTGATGTCTAACAATATACTACAGTTTAATGGAAAGAAGGACTAGGGGTGACCTAGGAGCAGGATTCCAGGATTTGAGGGGCTGCCACAAAAGAAGTGGGGGTTTCCACCTATTCTCCAGCGCACCAGAAGGCAGGAGAAGGAGCAATGGGTGGAAATGAATCAAGAAGAGAAGCAACCTGGAATTGAGAAATTTCTTGACACTCTGGACATTTACCCAGTGGAACTGCTTGCCACCAGGAGTTATGGGCGCTCCATCTTAAAAACTGGGAGGAGGGGCTTAAGAAGAGATTGAACAACCATTTGTCTGGAATGGTTTAGGGTCTCCTGCATGACCAGGAGTTTGGACTAGAAGACCTCCCAAGGTCCCTTCCAATTCTGTCATTCTGTTACTGTGCTTTTGAGAACCATTTTGGTGCAGTGGTTAAATGACACGGTTAGAAACTGGGAGACGGCGAGTTCAAGTCCTGCCTCAGGCACAAAACCAACTGGGTTATTTTGGGCCGGGCAGTCTCGCTCAGCCCTAGGAAGAAAGCAGGCAAGGGGGAAACCATTTGTCAGAAATGGTGTAGGTAGAGTCCTGCTTGGGGGGTTGGACTAGATGACCTACAAGGTCCCTTCCAACTCAATCTGTAAAACCTCTGAAATTTTCCCCAGCAGGAGCCAAGATTGACTCGGAAACACCCCTCCCCCCTAAAAGAGTTTTAAATTCTTTATTAAATGCTTGTGAGCCTCTAAGGAAAAGGAGATGATGCTAAAAGGGATCAGTTCTGCATCTATTGTGTCGGGCGTATGTACAGGTAAGTCCTCAATTTGCAACCGCAATTGAGCCTTCCAACTACATTTATAACTCGTGACGATCATAAAGCAAGTCGTCACCTTACCAGACCCGATTTTACAACCTGTTTTTGCGTTGCATAAAGCGAATGCAGCCATCAACAAGACCATCGATGGGTCGCTAGGCGGCATGTTTTGCCCTAGACTGGAAAAATAAAATAAATAAGCTAAAAAGAAGTTTCTAGGGGGAAAAAAAATCTTACAGTCATGGGACTGCAGGGGGCTGCAAATAGCCATAATTGCACTCCAGTCCGAGTATCCAAAATGTAATCGTGACCGGGAGGGGGGAGGGAGTAATGTCATAAGTTCAGAACCAGGTCGTAAGTAGCTTTTGGGGGATCCATCATAACTCCAAACCGTCACTAAGCCGTAAATTGAGGATTACTTGTATCAAAGCTCGGGAAGCGACTGGAGCATTTAAGAAGAAAACAAGAAGTACAAAAAGTTGGGAGATCCAGAAAAACAAGACTTGTGAAAATAAACCAACAGCATCTACTTACCTTGTATTTAAAAGCTATTTATTGACATATTTTAAAAAATCCCAACCGTAACAGACAAGAAAAATAAAAAGACATTGTTTTTCTGATCGCTTATGCAGAGAAAAGGAGATTTCACTCAAGAGTTGGGAAGTTAGGGCAAGTGGTCCTAATTGGGTGTTGTGGCCCACCAGTGGCCAGCGGAACTGACAGCAGATTCGGACAGTGAGGAGGTTGGGGAGGAACCTGGGCCAGTCCTGGAGTCTGGGGAAGGCTCTGATGAGGGCTCTGTGTCGGAGGCAGAGAGGGGGCCAGGGCCGTCCGACAGTTCTCAGCTGCCTTCGGAGTCAAGACATCAGCGAGGCAGAAGAACAGCTGGAGCTTGTTCCCAGTGTGCGCATGCGCAGAGTTGCCAGGCGAAGGGAACAGCTAAAGAACAGGGAAGGCCAGAGGTGGATGATGAATGGCCCCTCTTAGAGGAAACAAAAGGGGAGTGGAGTTTGCAGGAGACAATTAGTTTAGTTAATTGGTTCGTGACTCTGAGACTCCTTGCCAAGCTTTGCAGATCTCGGCCTTGCAGCTCTCCAAACCAGAGAAGGTCTGTGACTGTAAATCCTCCCTTGAAAGACTGGATGTGAATGAGCAGAACTCACGGTCAATTAATAAAAGGGCCGGGAGTTTGCTTCGTGCTCTTGGGAGGCCTTGGTCAGAACACTGGGTAGGATTGAAACAGGTTTAATTCCAAGAGGGATGAGTTAATTCCAGGACCGATCTCTCGATCTGGTAGCTTCAAAAAAAATCCACTAGAATAAGAGAGATTGATGTGGGCAGAGAACAGACGTAAGTATCTTCACCATATTTGCCAGGGTTTGGCAACCTGAAGACAGGTGAATTTCAAGGCAGCCAACTCTGGGAGTTGAAGCCCACCCATTTTCAAGGGGTCAAGTCCGAGAACACTTGGCCTAAAACTTCTACGTCCCAATAGGCTATAAGGAGGACAGAAGTTCCAGCAGACGCTACTCTACCTTGGGCAAACACGGATCGGCAGAAGGACTCAAACACAAGAGACAAACCTAGTTCATCTCAGCAGAAGTCTTGGTCTTCAAGAAGTTGGCTAGGCTCATCCACCTGGATTGTGGCCCCCAGTGGACAGCAAGCAGGGAAACGATCTCGAATGGTTGGGCCAAGCCTGTTGTGGCTCACCAGCGGCCAGCAGAGCTGGCAGCAAATTCAGACAGGAGCTTGGGGAGGAACCTGGGCCAGTCCTGGAGTCCGGGGAAGGCTCTGATGAGGGCTCTGTGTCGGAGGCAGAGAGGGGGCCAGAGCCCTATGCCAGCTACCAGCTGCCTTCAGAGTCAGGCAGACGAACAACTGGAGCAGAGTTGCCAGACGAAGGGAAGAGCTAAAGGACAGGGGTTGACTTGGGAGTAAGGCCAGACAATGAATGGCCCCTCCCAGAGGAAATAAGAGAGGAGCGAAAGGGGAGTGGAGTTTGCAGGAGACAATTAGTTCGCTTAATTGGTCCGTGGCTCTCTGAGACTCCTTGCCAAGTTTTGCAGATATTGGCCTGGCAGCTCTCCAAGCCGGAAAAGGTCTTTCAAGGTCCTCCCTCGAAAGACTTTGCTGGCTGTGAAGGAGCAGAATTCACAGTCAATTAATAAAAGCGGGTTTTGTCAGGACCAGGAGTTTGCTGCATGCTCTTGGGAAGCCTAGATCAGGACAAAGCCCCACATTTGGCTGAAACTCCTCCTTTTAGGAATTCAAAGTGAAAACGTGGTCTTGTTTCCTTGTGGACCAACTCTTCCATTTCTCAAGACGTCTACACACACGTTTGCCCTCAGCTTTCAGCTCCTAACACTGCTACTGGCAGCCGATTGTGAGAAGATTTGTGTGGGTTTTTCCCCCCATTGGCTATTGAACAGCTTGAGGCATTTCGCTCCATGCTTTAGCCTTCTTCTTAGCCAGAGACAGCCAGGGAGGTTCGGTGGAGCTGCAGGAGGCCCCGGGCAGGATTGGTGGCAACCTGGTGTCCTTTTCCACCAGAAGACTTTCCTGCGGGAGGATTCTGGCACATCCTTCTGAAAAACAATGTGAGACATCAAAGAACACCTGAAGGCTACGGACACCTAAGAAGAATCACATCGTTTTGGTTGTCCCCAAGATGCTTTTTTCCCCCAAAAGTTAATTTGCCTTTTTGAAAATTTCTTCGAAAACATTTTACTTCCTCTCGTTTCCTCCTTTTCTTCCTTCCCTTTTTCCTTTTTTCTTCCTTTCTTTTCTAGTTTCCTTTATTATCTCTCTTTTCCTTCCATCCATCTCTCTGCCTTCTTTCTTTTTTTGTCTTTCTTCATTCCCTTCCTTATCTTTCTCTCTGTCTTCCTTCCATTTTTTGTCTTCCTTTCTTCCTTATCTCTTTCTCTGCCTTCCTTCCCAGTTTCTTTGGGGAGCAGCATCCAAAAAATAAAATCCCCAGCATCCCCAAATCAAAAAAGAAAGAAAGAAAATGTTTCACTTCTCATCCAAGAAGCTTCTCAAGTTCAAGTTCTTCAGGTTCAGTTCTTCAGAAGCTTCTTGGATGAGAAGCGAAACATTTTGAAAGGAAAAAAAAACAAAACAAGAAAGTCAAATTGCCCAAAGCAATTTGATTGAGACGTGAGGATTTTGGTTTTCCTTAAAGAATACAGAATAACAGAGTTGAAAGGGGCCTTGGAGGTCTTCTAATCCAACTCCTGGCTCAAGCAGGAGGTCCTATTCCATTCATTCTAGTATACTGTTCCAAAGGAAGAAGTGAAAACAGCTTAGCTAACTGGGCAAAGGGGTTTTGTGGTGTTCCCACCTTATATACTAGATCTGGGATCTCCAACTTGGCAACTCCAAGACCCTTCCACATACTAGGTAGCTGAGAAATTCTGGGAGCTGAAGCTTA